AGCCAATAAACATTTGCCGAGTGAATAAATGAATAAATTAATGAATAATTGTATCCAAAGTAGCACAAGCCGCACCATACTGGGAAGTACTGGCCTACTAACTTAGGTTCCCAGTGGACTGTCTGCAACAAATGAGCTTCTCGAGAACACTGGGGCCTTCTTTTCTGTGTCTATCTCTAGGTTTTAATCAGCGACAGTATGTAACACCTGGCGGTGCTCAGTAACTGTTACTTGGAAAAGTGAACAAAAGAAAACTCTTAACCTACCTTAACTAGCAGAGTAGCTGAGTTCCACAAGAAAGCAACCATCTAATTTCTCCCATCACAATCTGTTTTGCAGCATATTTTACCCCCTGCAATGTATAGTCTATATATTCAAACCTTGATAAAGCTTAGAGAAACATTTTAGCTAACCTTTTCTACGTTATGAATTGTTAGAATAAAAACTTCACTGAACACACGTTTTGTTCCTTCCTGAACCTCTCCGTCTTATTCTTAGACCACTGATAGGAACCTGAAGTTAAGTTGGAGGTGGGGTGATGTTATCAATGGCACAAATTTTTCTCACTAACATCTCAATTCTCTTCTTTGGCAAAGGAATGAAATACAAAAATATTAGAGCTACATTTGGTCTTTATTGTTTTCTAGTCCAATCTGCAATTTTCAATCCTTTGTGCGGAAGGAAAAACTGAGGCCTAAAGGTGCTGAGTGACTTGTCCAGTCCTTGTGGCTGGTAGCAGGATGTTACAACCAGGTGGGGAGGCGGGCGTCACATTGGTGGGGGAATGTGTTACTTGACAAATAGAGTGCAATTTTGGGACCAGAGAGGCTGTTCTTGTGCCTTTAATGTACATAGTATTTAACTGGTGTGAACTGACTCCCTGACTTTGATTCCATATGACATCAAAATTGTCTGTAAAGGACCCATGAAGTTTTGGGATATTTTAAAAGGGTTTGAGCAGGCCTAGCACTTTCTGTTACACTTTCTGTATTATCCCACGGAGTCTTTAGGAATGTTCCATGATGAAAAGATGTTATGTTTGGGAATTTGTTTGCTATCCTGATTGGCTTCTGTTCCTTCTTAATGGATTTACAATTTATTTGAGTCAGTATATCTACATTTAGTGGTGACCTACTTAACTGGGATTTAGGAACATCATTACCTCTCCTTTCAGTTCTTCCATCATCATTTCAAACTGCATGGCCCCGTCTCCTGGAGTGAGGTGTCTGAACGGTATTTCTTAATGTAACCACAATTCTTATATTTTTAGAGAAGGTTAGCACTTTCTCTTTTGGCTATGTAGTTCATGAGACCAGTGTATACATTACCTGTTACAAATTGCTGCTATCCATGCTACTAATGACTATAAGTCTGTTCTCTAACTGATGGTTTCTATTTGTTCTTGGAGAAAAAGTATGTGCTAAGCATAAAGTTTAGCTCGATTAATCTCTTTTTAATCTCTTTTTATATCAGTTGTATCTTAACAGGTTAATGAAATTGAGATGTGTATCAAATAAATAGGTTTAACTTTTATCAGATACACTTTTTATATAATACAGTTTTTATTCATTTAACTTTCAGATTTAAAATAAAAGTAGTTACATGCACACATGTGAAAGAGTAAAAGTGTTCCTAAGAACTTTGTAACATGTGTCTCTCAGAGATAAAACCTAACAATAAGATGAAACATATGCATATTAAGAACTTATAAAAGGATCTGATGAAGATTTTGATCCATAATTTTGCATTAATTTCAACAGAGTCTGTGCACTAATTTCTCAGAACCCCAGGACACTCTACTCACATGACCGTATCAACCTATATTACATGTTTGTCTTTGCCAGTATTACCTTCTATGCAATATGGCAGTGCTTAGGGAGCATTAATTGCTAGCTATCTCTTAGCTACTTACGGGCAATCTTGGAATAATTACCATGTATTTATGGGAATGAGGCATTCATTTATTTATTGCCTTTCTCCTAAAAATCCCATAGCACTGGAGTCAAGAAGATAATAGTATAAATTGCCCACTTCTCTCTACGGGAATTACTCCTTTCGCTATCTCCACCACCCATCCCAGCAGCACCACAACACTCTAACAAGGGGCTCGGCCTTCATATCAAAACTATAATGGTTATTGCCATTGCCACTCAAAGCATATTGAATCTATCCTTTCTCAATGATCCTTTCTTTTATCCCTTCAACCTTCTCTTTTTCTTTTTCTTGAAGTGAAACAAGGACCTTGACTTTGGGACCATATAAATTTGACTGCATTGAAGTTGCTGGTCCCGTTTTTAGACAAGATTGTTAGAGATGTAAAGTAATCACTGTGTTGGCGTTTAGATGTTTATGTGAGATAAACTGAGTATTTTACACTGGCAGACAAGTGCCACAGACTATCTTATTAAACCCATTCAGTTGATTTAGAATAAATAATTCCTACTACTTCATAGGGATAATAAATCTTTTTCCTATTCATATACTTTCATGTTTTTATAACATGTAAATAAAACACACAGGAATATATGAATAAGTCACATAATGTGATTTATCAAAAGGGAGAAAATAAATTTCTTATACTTTTCAGCCTGTGAATTTATTGTTGGACACTTATTTCCAGATATTTCATGCATAAATACACATAAGAGGAATTCAATATCATACTTAAATTGTTATTTTAAATGTTTTGCAAAGATTCATAACCCAACTTTAAATTTATCTTTCTCCTTCCAGAGAGATGTAAAACAAAAGGAATAACTTGAAATGCTCATGTTGTATTAATAACAAGGAAGTCAGAAACTATAAAAGAAGTGATTAACATGTTATTTCTTCTCTTTTAGATTATAATCTTTTCTAAGTATTATGGCATAGCTAAATGGTCCCAAATTTTACATTTTAGAGGTCATTGATTTTACTCATCTAAATATTTTCCTTATTTAAAAAAGTAATATGTTTAAAAAGTAATACCAGATTATTTATTTAATTCAGATAAGATGATTAAAGTGTAAAACTATAATTTATTCACTGTGATACAGCAAAAACAAACAATAAACAAAAAAACCATGGGTTTTAGAGTCTGACAGACCTCAGTTTGAACACTAGTCACGCTACTTACTGTGAGTTAGGGGTCCTTGGGAAGGTTACTTAGACTGTCTGAGATTCAGTGGGTACTGATACTCAGAAGAGTTGCTGTGAGAATGAAATGGCAACCTCTACGTGTCAGGTGCCTGCACAGAGCACCAATAATGGTTACCACTTAATGTGGCTTACTGTGAGCCACACACTGTGCTAAACGTTTTACACATTTACAAATGGAATTGTGAGAAGCATTCCTATGGAGCAGAAGTTACTTTGGCCCTACTTTAGAGATGTGGAAGTAAAAGATAGAGGTGTTAGATAATGTACCCTAATCTGCGCCAGCTGAGTGGTGAGAGCAGCGTTCTAACCAGGGTCCATCTCTTTGGTTAGCTATGGTTGTGTAAAAAACTACTCAGAATTCTGTGGCTTTAAACAATAACCATTTTATTATGTCTCATGATTTTATGGGTGGGCTGAACTGAGTGGGGTGATTCTTTGCTCCCACAAGATGTCAACTGCAGCTGCAGCATGTGGTGGTGGTGGAGGGGAGGGGTGCAATGTCTGAGATGGTTCATCACAGGGTGGAATTCAGTGCTGACCGATTGCTGGGAGCTCAGCTAGAGCTGCCAACTGGAGAGCCTCAGTATCCCCCTCTTTGCAGTACTGTTTGTATCCTCTCCATATGGATTGGCTTTGCTTAGCATTGAACCCTGGGTCATAGGAAGGAGTTCTGAAAGAGGAAAAGCTCCAACGTGCAGACATGCGAGATGCTCTCAATGGTACCATTGCTAGTCATTGGCCAAGGCTAGGCACATGGACAATCTGAGTCAGTCTGGGAGGGAACACCGCAGGGCATGAGTACTGGAAGGCCCACTGAGGCTGCTAAAGGAGCAGCCCACTGCAACAGCTGTCATCAAAGGCACTCTTCTGAGGCCTCCAAACTATCTCAGCTGTCAGGAATCTTCTGCTCTCCCTAGGGCAGCATGTTGGGCGATGCCTTGTGAGAAGAACTTGACTTTCAGACATAGTCAGTTATAGAGTTAGAAACTTTTTACACTTTTCTGCTTCCAAGTATGACATAAAATTAAAATTTTATATAAATGATTTTCAAGGAAATTTCAGTTTTATAAAAGAACAGTGCCTCTCAAAGATTTAAATTGTTTTTATCCATTTTTTAAAATGCCATTCTGTATTGGGTTTTCTATATTATAATTCATTAGTGAATAAAATAAGGAGAAACACACTTAGGCTTTATGCGCTGTCAGCATTCAAATAAAAGTGACTATATACCCATCTACTTCTTAGAAATGTGATTAATTGTGGATTTTTAAGAAACTTCTTTTCAAAGGAATGGCTTTTATCCCAGTATTTCTATTGAAAACAGGATTTTTATTTCAGAAATTGTAACTCTATTTTCATTTTATATAAATTAAAATAATTTAGTCCTAATGGTATTTATGTAGATGGGTTCCACACAGAACTTTCTGTTTAAATGTTTTATTTCAGATAAAGCATTTCCTATCTGTATATGCAATTTATTTCCAAACGGAAGTATTTTACCTCAGTGACCCAAAATATTTAAACTGTTTCTTCTAGTAATACTGAAATTTAGACAGCTTTAGAAAGAGTGAATAGCTTATAGAAATCAGAGAAAAAAATATAACCCTTTCCTCTTGATTCATTACTTCAAGTTAAATTAGCAAATGATTTACAGGTAATAAATGCCATTTCAAAGCTCTTTGGTGACCAGTGCAAACTCTGATACTGTCATAATATCAAGACTCTGCAGGAGATATCACATGATATTGGAATAAAATTATCCCCTTAATGGCTGCAGTATTACTATTAAGCTTTTTAAAAACATAAATAAAAAGAACTGAGATAAATATATAAAAGCAGTAATGAAAGAAATCAGTACTTACTTTTTGTGACAACTCCTTCTAGTCGAATGATATTTGGGTGGTCAAACTGACCCATGATACTAGCTTCTCTGAGAAAATCTCTTCTTTGCCGATCCATGTGGCCACCTTTCAAAGTTTTGATGGCAACTGGGATCTCTCTCTTCCCTGGTGTCTTCAAACGCCCACTACAGACTTCTCCAAATTCTCCTTAAAATATGAACAAAAGTATTTATTTGTTTAAACAGAATACTTACATTCCAGAAGAACTGAGTCGTCATGTAGTCCCAACTTTCTGTTTTTTAATGTAATGACTCTCAAGTGTGTTGTTTCCACATGGATATTTCTTTCTTAAAATATTAAGTCTGTAATGACAGTGTGCTTGGTCAGCATCATTTATAATGAATAGCAGAATGCATTTTCATATGTTGTGCCACAGGAACTACCATTGATAGATATCCCCTGATCTGCTGAGAAATTATGAATAGCTCAATGGGCGATGCTAATGTAATTCTATGGAAAAGCAATCACTGCATAACATTTCCTGTTCCTGTTCTCAATACTGATATATGGGTCAAATGTTTGCTCTATTCCGGAATTCATCAGGCATACGTAGTTGAATTGATCCCACAGGCCATATGCCTGGGCTTCACTGCCATTAGAAATCAATGCTAGGGTCAATTTGTTCATAGGGTCAATATGAACATATTGAAAAAACCATACTAAACTCAACTATAATAAGTCATTACACAGGGTAAATTATAAGTCACATGTTTGGAATACAAATACAGTAAGTTCAGCAATGACTCCATTGGACAGATTAAATAATAGCCAAATACTTATCATGAATTTATTACATATATATCCAGTGCTAGGGTGCTGTGAATTTCAAAGAAGTATAAGACTTGGTCTCTGTTCTCAGGAGTTTATAATCTAGTAGGAGAATCTGATAAACATAAATGAAACAATTTAAGAATATAAGAACTGATCCCTGAAAATGCTGTATTATATAAGAATGGTGAGAGCCGGAAGACTTCCCAGGAGAGGTGGAAGTTTTGCTGGACCTTGAATGATGAGGATGATTTGGAATTTCAAGAAAAGCAGCTACACTGCAGACAGGGGTTATGAAGGGAGTGAGGGAAATGACGTCAAAGATTTAAAGATTCGAAGTAGTAAAAAGAAATTATGTGGACATAAAGGATATAAGGCTCACTAGAAGAGTTATTGTGGAAAAGACTGAGGCTTTCTCAGCGCAACACAATAAATTCAATAAAGCCTGAAATTTAAGACAATTTATCCTGGGCAGATTACCTGCATTTACTTAAAAGCATGATGCTTGACCCCCAAATTATTCATATATAAAGTGATGATAATAATAAAACCTTCCATAATTCTATAATGTCCCTTCCCTATAAAGATATTGGAAAGATCAATAGTGGTAATACATGTGAAAGTGCTTATCAACTGTAAAGTATTATACATGTGCTTTATGTTATACAAGTCTTTGGAAGGGTGCAAGGGATGAACATTAACACATCTTCAGTTGACTTGCTAGCAGGCAGATCTGACCAATAGTCTGATGCAATGTAAGCTGAAGTGTAGAAGATCAAATTAAATTTTTGCAGTACTATCAATTCCAATTATCCAAATTTCCCTGGACCATTTCACGGAAGTCAACTAAAGGTTGGCTATACATGAAAATTAATTTTTAGTGTAGTTGTATATATATAATATATATATATATTATATATAT